TAAACACGGACCCTTCGTGTGTAACGTTGTTACAAATTATCACCTGCGTCCATTTGACATTGTTTTAACGTTCTAAGTTCCAGTTTCCAGTGTCAAAAGTGAACAGGCTGTTAAAGTCAAGAACTAATTCGTACGAAGAAAGGATTCTAAATTAAATTAACATGCTGCAAATTGTTAATATTGATTGATGAAATTGGTTTATATATTTTGTAAAACATTTAATTAACGCGGGCTCAAATAACATATTGACACGTCAGATGTGAATATTAGTAAGTTGCGTTATATCTTTTGATACGTATTTCACAATTTGCAATAAATTATATGTACTTGAAATTGCTAAAGATCGCCACTACAATGAGGATTTGAACCCGAACTAAAAACAGAAATTGGTCTTAAATAACAGTGGCAAGGTATAATTATACAAAAATAGAAATTAATAATTCTATATACTTTAAAATGAAAAATAAAATATAACTATTTATGACATTTTCGGTGTTGTAGTTGCCTACCGCAAGTTCAGTGGTTTAATGTGCACTAGTTTATACCTAATTTTTATGCTAATTTGGATTTAAAAACTTTGTAGGCGTTAAGAAATATCTAAACTATAGGATATATAGCAAAATACTATATTTAAAGTGCAGCTATTTTTTACGATAATGTAAATTTCTGTATTGATAATAATTAATTTCTATATTGAATGTATAACATTATTATTCAAATAAACCACAAACATTTTATTTCGCCGGCAAAAACCCTATCATGCGCATACGACGGTAGCACCTATTACATAAAATAATTCGACATCAAACAGGTTAAGAGTCAAAACAGGCACGAAAGGAAATAAAACATGTAAATGAGATTTCACCGCGCGTCAAAATACCTGTTACCGCATAATAGGTAGTAAAGCCATATGAATAGTAAACGAGTATTTTTATTACTTACACAAACTGAACATTTGTATAGTCTTTCTTGTTTAGCCCAATCATTACGCTTCTTTATAATAAATAAGCATTATCACTTCAATATTATTCTGTATATTCCCTTTTAGCTTTCGCTCGCGACTTCGCTCGCGTGGACATAGAGTAATTTTTTTCATATTGTACATTGAGCGATTTATTTTTCAGTCATGATCCCGACCTCACTCCCGTTTCCGATTTAAATATGGACTCTAATGTATGTTCCGATTTAGTATCGGTCTCAATTCCAAAACCAATACCAACACATGCGCTCCCAACGACATCGCCATCCTACAGACGAGCGCTAATATCGATGGGTTTGATTGCAGACTAGCTAATGTCACACACTACACCCACAATATTTTGTTAACGTAAAATAAATCATATGATTTATCTTTCCTTTTATTTTTTGTAAACTTTTATTTTTCCTTTTCCTTTTGTTTAATTTACATTGTTATGTATGCTATTCTCTAATGTAACCATTGCATGTACAAACGTTTAAGGATTATGATCTAGATTAAATTGAAAACATGTATGTATGTAAGTAAATATGTATTAAACTATTTACACAATTTTAAGATGGTTGTAATCTGTTGTGCACTTTTAAATAAATTAAATAAGATACATAAATCTACGACTAAAATAAAAAAAAAAGTATAAGGAAATCACCCAATGTGGGAATAGAATTTCTGCATCTAGGGTTTCTTAACGGCGAACGACTAAAAATCAAAATAGGGATGAATGGATTTGAAAATTATTCAAAATTATTGTTCTATTAATTGTCTAATAGGTGATATAACCTTTATTATATTTTTGAGAATCGAAAGGAGTGTAAGAATTACTGAAATAATTTTGTAGTATGATGAAAACGGCCTCTCTAAACCTTAGGCGTGTAATTCGACCAATACCAACTAAACCTCACAGAAAGAATATTTTAGAATTGAAAGAACGCAAAAACTTCCAAAATCTTATACACGTATATTTTCAGGGTAACCATTTTTCAAGATTATTATATGCTCGTAATTATTTTATTTCTTGACTTTGCCATATAATGGTTATAGCTTGGCAATTAATACGCCTTTGTTAAATATTTTTCAATGACAAACACGTTATTTCTAGTTCAAGTAATAATGTCATTATATAAATAAAAAAACACATTTTAAAATTTACTTTTTCTGTTACATGGTTTTGTATTTTTATACGATATATTAGTACCCAAAATTATTGTAATTTTGGTTTTGCCATCCATTATAAGACAATGCGACATAGGCCTTCTAGGATAATACAATTGTAGCAAACCAAAAACAAATATGTTAAATAACATTAAAAAAAAAACATATAAGATGTATTTAATAATAGTTGTCATATTCATCGTCAAAAACGTAATATAAATGCAGTTGATCGATATAGGTACGTGTGATGAATATTATCTGCAGTTCAAAGATAACTAGATTATAGTATATCCAAACCAGTTATTATTTATTTTAATTTTCGCTTTCGTATGTTGTACACAGCCTTTGTTATTTCAACGTTTCAATATTTTTTTCAGGCGAATTATTATAAGGACCCGATAAATTAACTTTGACAACGTCGTAATTGCATATCTCATTTGAACTGACGGATCGAAATCTAATAATTTGCTTCAGAGACGCTTCCTGAAATAAAGCAATTTATCACGAAATACTTTCATGATGGACATTATACAATTTTCCTAATTCCTGAAATAATGGGAATTCACTGCTTTATGACGTAAGCACTAGATTTATTACTCTATTGCTAAAAAAAAGAAATGCAAATATAGACATAATCTCATATCTTCATTCTGTTCAGCTAACATCGCAGAGCAGCTTCTGAAAATCCAGTTATATACCGAATGCCATTTAAGCACGCTTCATACGTTGCGACTTATCTGCTATCTACTCACGCGGGCAGCAGGGGCAGCCAAGCGGGGCGCCGTCTGAGCGGCTCCAGGGGTGCGGGGGTGGGTTTCAATATGTGTATCAGCCTTTTGACCCCCCTCGCGCCTATCATCGCCACCGCCAGGCTGACTAGCACGAGCGCACCGCCCACTCCTATCCATAGAGCCTGAAACAGGAGAAAAAATTTAGAGAAAGCCTACTAAGCGGGAAAACGGACTCGTCAGAAAGGATTTTTTGCTTATTTACCCGTCTATGTTACGAACAGACTTTTTAGAAGGTTAGTATTGTTAGTAAGTTAAGTTAACGTTAAAATTTAGTATAATATTTGGTGATTGTTACAAAGAAGGTTTAAGACGAAATTTTGAGGTGAGTGAATGTATTGAGTGTAGATGTAAAAAGGCTGATTAGGACATGAAGATTATAAATCTAGAAATAAAAATCAAATTTACTTGAAACCATTATACAAATATAAATAATTATCATCCTCTCCTCGATTTAGTCCGCAGAATACTACTTAATTAACCCTAAATAACCCAGACCCTGACAGTACTTTCTATTTAGACTAATAAACATTTTGATACCGAAATATTAGTTATTTTTTCAACAAAATCGGATATAGACAAGTAATAAAACCGTTACATATATTAGTAGTACATATGTTTAGTCACTTTTCGCACGTCCAATAATGATAATCAGTTCTATACCTACTAGTTATTTTTATGCTTCAAAGAAGTTAGTGAACATTAATCACGGTAATTCGATTGAGCTCAGTTCGGATTTTTCTTTAGACGTGCCGTTAACGACGTATTTAACGAATGTATATACATTAAAATATGAGGTACATTTGCAACATTCCTCCTCGTTTAGTCGCGTTTTAATGTAAGCAAAGAAGAAAGAAAAACGTAAATTACAGTGTACTTTAATTAAGTACAAAAGATACACGATATAACATTCCGCGTCTCACGTTTAATTAATTAAACGAGGTCAACATCAACGAAGTAATCAATTATATTTACGTTTAAATTTTCTTGTTCAACGTGATCATATTACATTTTTTAAACATCAGCGCCTCTCTGCGGCCTTGCGCATACAGACGTATTAGGCACTAGCTTTCGGTGGCAGCTCCGCCCGCTCGGATCAACATTAAAGAATTCCTCAATCTTTTATACATATCAAATAATCACGCTAGCGGCCATGATCCTGATTCGGCTCCCGTTCTCTATTCCCATCCCGATCCAGATGTACAACCTGATTCCGGTTCCGCTGCCAATTCCCACAACCGGTCCTTTACCTCGTTTCTTCAACCCCGATCCCGACCGCTGTCCCGTTTTTCATTGTAATCCAGATCTTGCTCTTGATGGCAATTAGTCTCACTTTCGATTCCGATCCCGGTCCCATTTTTCACTCCTAGCCCGCTTCCGATCTATTCCGATATTGTAGATACCGATTCTGGTCCCGCTCTCTAGCTCGGTCTCAATTCTCATCTAAGTACAGGTCCTTCTTTCAATACCAGGTACGCGTTTGGTTCTAATTTTAGTCCCACGCTTAATTTCGATCTTGATCCAGTTCTCGGTTTCGATTCCTCCATGTCTTGACTCTCAATTCCGCTTCCCGTCTCACTTACAATTTCGATTCATCTCTCGATCATGCCCCAAAAAAGCCAATAGTTTATTTTTCTCCGAGAGCTTCTTTATTACGGAATTTTTAGAATCGATCGTCGAATTCATAAAAATTGGATGAATGGTTTAGGCACGCGAAGAAGGCGAACGTAATGCACGTTCATTTTTAGAGTAAATGGCAAAAGCGAAACCCTTATACTTTCATCGTGTCTGTCCGTCCGTACGTCACAGTACTCAAAAACTACATGATGTATTTTGATGAAATATGTGGTACAGATGTTTTACAGACTGTCAATTAGTTTGGAAGTTAAATGAAAAGAATAAATATTTTTAGGGAGCACTCCGTACGTGTAACAGAAGTTGGAAAAAAATTTTGGAACGAAGTTACTTATCGAACCTCACACTCAGGCGTCGGCGGACGAGAGCTACACGAAAAAAAGTGTAACCGCAACGAAGAATGGTGACCGCTGTTGCTTTAGTTAACATTTTTATAAATTCGATTGCCAACGTCCTTCCCACGCCGAATACACGGGTTTTCGCCCGATCACCGAGGTTAAGGAGCGTCGAACGTGGTCAGTACTTGGATAGGTGACCGCCTGAGAACACCGCGTAATGTTGGCTTTTTTTTTTATGGTGTTGCGTTAATTTTATGGTAATTTATGATAAAATATTAATTATGATTTTTATTGTAATATTTTTTTACAATTCTTTCATTGTTTTTGGTAAATTTTTCGTTTCATTATTTTCAAAGGTTGTCTATTTGTTTCATTGTGCTTGTATATAATTTATAATTCATTTTTTTTCCCTAAAATATTAAATAAAACTTTTGGGTTGTTTCAATTTTGGAGAGTATTCAATTTTAAATGTTCAATAAATAAATAATTATACAAATATGTGAAAATGACATCTATTATTGATTTCATAATTAAAAAATTGTATGAATTGCCAAACTTAACAAATTCTTTAATAAATAAAGCACATGGTGCTGTTTAGTGCTTTTTTTTAGAATTTCAATTATTATAGATACAAAAATGTTTATTTGCAACTTAAAAATATTTCTTGCCATTTATGCACTTATATTATTATTATTTATTTACTTCCTTTTAAACGTTTTAATTAATTTAATCGTTATTATTCAGTTCATAATATACATTTATATATAGCGAAAGCAATTTCGTTCCGACCGGGTGTTTTCAGCAAACACCAACATGTGGCACATATTTCGATACTTCTTTTAAAAACTCTAGATCTCCTGAGTAATTTTTTTGATTAAGTGAATATTTTCTGAAATAATCGCTCAAAAAGTAGCATAAACTGCTTTTATCCTTTGTCTTTTAGATCGTATGTTTAAAAATATGAAAAAAAAACTACGAAAGTAATGCTTAATAAATACTTTAAAAAATATATATTTTGAATATGATCGGATTTACCGTATTTGAGTTATTACCGAAAACTGCTCTTTACAACAAAAGGACGTAAGTACCATGAAGATACACTTTTTCCTTGATACTTTTACACATCGTATTTTTACATTTTGAGGCTGTAGTGTTTTGATTGTGTTTTAACGCTCTTAAAATTCAATAATAGTAAGATATACTTAATATAAACTTTGTATAAAAGGTAAAAGATTGATCGTTTTTGAATGACGTTCGAGGACGTGTAACAGTCTGTGTCTTGCGACTTCAAGTCATTTGATGACGTTTGGTTGTACGAAACAGGGAGTGAATATATGTTTGTGAACCATGTAAAATTATGGAAGTGAAAAATCATATCATCAGTCATTAACACTCGTCCTATGCGGACCCGTTTTTAGACGTTATTAGCCGTTAAACCTTAACTCAATCAATAGGTTCATAGTATCAAGCAAAAAAGGCCCCTTTCGAAGTCCGCATACCGTGACGAGTAACTACGGAATCCGACATTACGCGTGGCCCGACATGCGCTTGGCCGGTTTTTATACGTTGTACAATCTCACTCACTCTTCCAGCCTGAAATATTGAACTTAAATATATGGTTTCATGGATTTTTTACCGAAGCTATCAAAGGTTAATATTATTGCTGTACACTATTCGTTATTTCAAGCCGATAAGCGGCGCATGTCTATAAATCAACCATATGGTTCGTTTTTCCTGACTTCATTTACTGTTAATATTTTCTTACAAAGAATTTAAATTTTAATTAGAAATAGCCAATAGGACTCAGGAATAATGTAGCTTCATACTGAAAGCAGAATTTTTAGAATCGGGTCAGTAGTTCCAGATACTATACCTTATGTCCAAATTTACGAATTTTCCAACTTTACCTTTTGTAATATTAGTATAGATAAATAACCAACAAATACTTTTTTGTTAAACAAAACTATATTGAAAAAAGTGAATATGGTTACTAAAGAAATCCTAAAATATTGTCTTTATTTTTGTTAGTATATAGTGCATCAAAATCACATATAATTTGAGCGATTACATGTTCTTGGTGAGAATTGGTAAACCGTATCAATTTTCTTCAAGATCAGTCACACCGTCCTTAAGTAATATAAGAACACACAGTCTGATAGACAAATAAAGACACAGCCTATGGTTTGTACAATCACATGTCCTTATTGTGTACCAATTTATAATATGGTCGGTCAGGTTGTTCATGAATTATAAAAACATATACAGACAGACAGACGTAAATTTAAAAAAAAAGAACAGAATTTGACTCGATGAGTCATAAAGCGAGTATTATCAAAAAAATTGGCAGAGAAATTTAACATATAAGCGCTACAGATTTGTATAATAGTATAGATGATAATTAGAGAATATTTTGAACACTAGAACCTTGATTGCGTAATAGGTGTACATGCCATGAATACAATATCAAACGTACTCACATAACTCCTCAAAGGTGTTCTCCTCTCGTCCGCCGGATCTGTGTACAAAGAGATTCATGAATAACATTACCACTTTGATACAAAAGCAAGTCACTATCCAAGACTACGGAGACCACAGCTTAGTAAGTCATCCTGTGTCCGGCCGCGGCATCTCGCCGTGCCTAAAGACGGCCACGGATAATAGAGCGATTTTTGAAGTGACGATTCTATAGCTCGTACGGTTCACGTAACATAATTCGAGTTACGTAAGTTTATTTAAATGGAAGAAAAATATGAAATGGTAACCATTTCGAAATGGCTAAGAATACGGCTGTTGCGTAAATTCTTTTATACACAAAGTGTACATTAAAAAGAAAGCTACAATGTAAATACGGTCCATTTCAGGCCAGGACGTCCGCAAACGTGGCTATTGGTCGTCGGAATCACGGGCCGTCTGTTTGCGTGATTGCAGCTATGAAATTGCAGCGGATAGATTTTATTGCAGCTTACAAATCATCAATACCTAATTATTCTCGAGGCTTATAAAAACGAGGAGTGATTCTAGATTGGAGTAGAAATTTAGATCTTATTATATCGCATTTGAAAAATAAGCATGTGATCCGAATAGGCGCAAATAATAGCAACAAGTATCAATAATAATAGCAAACAAGTGGCAAAAAAGTCTATGTTTTTGTCAAAATATTTTAAAAAAGCATTGAGATGCGTTTGCTTGTCTAATCTTAGACGATGGGTCGCTCTCGTGAAATTCCAGATTGGCGAAACGAAGGTGATATTAATTATGTCCATACGAACGAAAATCAGGAGATAAATTTGTGTCGCTGTGACACCACGAAATTGATATCGGTGTTTACTAAGTAAATTAAATTTTCGTCGAATATTGGAAATTTAGAGACAATTTCTGAGCAAGATGTCCTAGTGTGATTTTAATAGTCTCATATTCGTTTTGATCAAAATTAAGAAAATATTTTTCCTCTTATAATTAAATTCAAAGTATAATATCTTAAGGTAGAAATTAAATAATACCTATTTTAAACACTTTAATTGTCGTTCAATCCGTCTTTTGATTAAATTGTCATACGCCAAAACCAGTTTTTGAAATTCAAAAGTATGTGGGTATACTTATTCGGATTAGGAATACTCCTAAGAAATCATTTTCGGAAACTAAATTTCCGTCTAAGAAATACTATGACTCGTGAATCGACCCCCTTTTCAATAATGATTTATATGAAGGAGTGTGTCTGGAAATAAAATACAATTTCTTACAAATTTTATTTATAAGATTAAGCAGAAATACTTATTTATAACCTTGTACATACGAGTATATCTCTAATTTTGGTAACTCTCCATGACGAAGCTGTATCACATTGATGAAAAGAACTACATATGTGATTGTGAGTGCTTATAAGCTACTCAACTGAAACTATTATGAAAACTTGATAATTTTGAATGTCTCTTTTCTTGACTGCCGTTGGCGGACAGTACCTAATTATCGTAAAATGATTATTAGCATCTATCCATCAAGGAAACATATCATCTCAATATCAAATAAGTGTATCTATATGCTGTATATTTCAAGAAGTCACATTAATTAAAAACCACACGCCCTGAATCTTCTGTGTTTTTTCATATATTTAAATGTCGGGAATCACGCTTCTTTAACTTCTATTTTGATCTTATATTGCTTAAGAATAGAATATTACGTATTTTAATAAAAACTCTTTTTTTCCAATATAAAATGTAACCTACTATTGTTTACTGTCTTAAATATGATCACTACTGTTATAATTGATTTAGTACTAAATTATCTTCAATTTATTAGTGTTTGCTAAATATAAAGTTTGTAATAACTGTTTCTCTATATCTAGTTGTGTGATAAAACTGTTTACGTATAATCGGAACAAATCGCTTCAATTACCTAACATTTATTTGGATTTTCATTTAATCAAATTCTATTATATTCAAATATACTAAAATATAAATAAAATTAATAATATCTCTCAATCTTAATCTTTTGATGCTCTATGAATGCAGGCGTCCAAAATAGACAGATATTCCAGAAATCGACAAATGTTTTACATAGCGCTAATGGGCTCGGCGAGATGTTTACGTGTCCGTTAAAACTTTGTGTCAGCAGTTACATGAAACTTCATATCTTTCATTCCTCCTATTAAATATTTATTTGAAAAGTTTTGGATGTCCGCGCCTTCTACAGTCGATTGACTTCTTCTGGGTTTCACTGCTATCAAATCGTTTGATAAACTCTTCAAATAAGTTCAAACCTTTGAAAGCAGAACATAAGAAAATTGAACGAGCTATTATATTGTTGACTCGGAAAACTCAGGAAGAACATGTTTTTTACGTTTTTTTTTTCGTTTTTGGAATTACGAGTAAGTCCCTTAATAAAAGTTGTCCGATTTTCTACCCTATTTCCACTTTTTAAGGGTTGGGATTTATTCTGAATTGACTCTTTATATATTTATTTATATAAAAAAATATTTATTTTAATTCAATTCCGTTTAGCAGAAACAATCTTATGTACAGTATTCGATTTTGTCTTCATATCACTGCAACAACACACTCTCGCACACAATCAATTATTTTCAGATCTTTTCAGCTCTTTTATTACAGCCGTGTGTCGTGCTTGTAAGACGGAAATTTTTTGCATCAATACGCCGCATCACCACGCATGCGACAACTAAATCAATATGAATCAGAGCATAGTCGTTCGATTTCGAATTTGAGATT